GTCTTAGGTACATACCTAAATAACAAGATTCGCTCATAAGATATTTGTTAAGCAGTCAGATCTTCAACGTAGTTCTTGAACAATAGGTAAATAGTGTGTCTATGATTTGGATTATATTCGCGCGGCCATATACACAAAGGCTGATGATGTATTGTATAACTAACCCAACCAACCAACCAACCAACCAATCTCTTCCCTCCCTGGCTGCCTTGCCATGTGGAACTCTATACAGCAACAGAACGCAACGCTCGCTCTCAAGACGCCAACTCCTCAACGCTATGCATTCGTTGCCAAATGTATGTGCATGTTATCGATTCCTTCTCGGTCTACCTGGCTTCCTATCTCCAAACGCTCGACAGTCATGCTACCCAAGAAAGAACTAAGCCCTACTTAGTCCTATGGTATTAGTCTTTGAGCGCTTTGCCTCGTGTCTGTACATTGAGATTTACCCCTATGGGGTTACGTCCTTCTCTTCTTTCCCTCAGCTCTTCTTCATTCCGAAGATGTTACGCTTCTTCTTTTCCTTTTCCATTTTGTGTGGTTTGCCTCCGCTCGCCGACGATGGAGGTCTGACATCACTTCCGTTTGATGGTTTAGGAGTGTGAAGCGACATATTGCTCATTGCCTGTACAGGCGGAGTATGTGTGGACGGAGCATGAGGCTCGCCACCTATTCTTGGCCCGCCTGGTAGCCCACCAGGATGAGGTGGTGCTCGTCCTGGGGGCGGGCGTTGGCCACCCGGTGGTACCGGGGGAGCGGCCATCGGTGGTGGAGCGGGTCGCTCGAATAAGTGTGCCGGTGCTCTTTGGGGTGGCCTCTCCATAGGTATATCGAGTCGTCTCTTGTCTACGCCCAGATCACCCACCTGTCTAACAAATAGCTGTGGTGTGAGCATATGGCTAGTTGCTAGGAAGACATCGCGGTTCAAAGCCGCGCCAACCTCGTAGCAAGAGCGCGATTCGGAAAACGTTGCCCCACCGGCCATAAAGACAATAATACGTTGTCTGTTATCTACGACACGTCTACCAGCACCAGCCCAACTAGGTTTCGTTGCTCGCAGAGAGCCCTGGCCAATGAGCGCGTCCTCGTTGGGGTCAAGTGGTGGTTTGACATAGGGAAATGCTGTCTGATCCAATGCTCCTCTGCATAGGTGTTCCAGCATGGTTTTCACCGCAGGATTGAATCGTGACATATAGTTATCCTCAGGGACCGGTACCTTCGGGTCGATGGGAAACAGGGGCTTTATGTCTTTACGGATGTCCTTGAGACCATGTGTAGTACGGCCACCAAGTAATTCCAAATTTCCTATAACTTCGCCGTCCTGGGGCGGCAAAGACGCATGTGCTAGTAACCTCTGAATATCTTCAGGGATTACTCCGTCCCTATAAAGGAGGTACATCATTATAAGACGCAGACGATCCGACTGGGTGACAGCATCATCATCCAAGAGGCGAACAATTGCATCGAGGACGTTTTTTGGTTTCCGATTATCCTCGTCAAGGCCTGTAGCCATATCCTGTTCTGTAGGAGACATCTCGGACAATTTATGGTGTTGGAAGATGTTCATACACTCTTGCGCCATGGTAAGATGGAGGGAATATGCTTCTTTCATCTCTTGGAATTGTGGCAGCCCCGCCATCATATCTTTAATTGCATTCAGACTAGTGGTGTCGCTGTTCGAATTTGTGAAATGAGGGTTTTGATCGAGGAACTTCTGGAAATCGCTCATCAACTTATCGATGGTATCCTTCATATGTCTGTGCCGGTTTTCAACCCATACCTTGTCTTTTTCGGTGAGCTCCATGTCCTTCTCTTCTGCATCTGGGGATCCCTCGTTAACGGTCATGTGGAACGTCGTCTTATCTCCGTCCTTGATCGGTAGTAGATCGTGTGCCATTGCTTGATATGTAAATTCATGTATCAAGGGAGCCATCAAATCCATGGATCTGTCCGTCACTATGAGAACTCCCTGCGGACGGGAACTCGGCGGTGGGAAGTTAGGATTCCATTGTGCATATTCGTCGAGCTCCTCTGACACAAAACGGGCAAGATGTGACGATAACACGCTGGCCTCATGTATTGGATTCTGGGGCCGGTAGTAGCGGACCTTAGGGTACTCGCCAAGGGTCACACATAGACCAGTGATCTATCAACATTCAAGTCAGACGACAGGTACCAGACGTAAACTAATATGGTTCCGCAAACCTTCTGAGCCAAATCTTGCATGTGCTTCCTTATAAGTCCATTGCAAGCGGGATGGAATAGGATTGGAAAGCTCCAAGGGTCTCTAAACGTAACGACGTGGGACTCGCGAGGGTAATAGTCGATCGAAAGAGTTTCAAAGCCCGCAATCTGCTGCTTTGCTAGACCTGAACCGTCTATCCGCCTCCTTAGCTGAGGATCGAGTACCGTGGTCCATACTAAATAGCTTTTTTTATATCTCCGTCGTTCAATATCGGCCATGAGACAGTCTACAATGTGAGGTTGCGGTGACAGTATATATATAGCGTCCATACTCGGGTTCATATCTCTCCGATCTTCGATAAGTTCGATGTCTGTAGCATTCTCTTCAGTCAATGCGCCAGAGACGGGACGTGTTCGGGTAACGTACTCGCAATATTATGATTAAGAATGTCATCCTCCTTGACGGCATTGTCAATTATTTTCTTCGAGTCGGCATCGATGACCAGAATTTTCCACTATACGCATTGTCCTGTTAGTATGGTGGTCTCGGCCTTAGAAAGGGGTATGATGGTATAAGGGTATAAGGGGTATAGCTTACATCACCAGCAGTAATGTTCTTAACGGTATTTATGATAACTATATGCGAGAGAGAAGTCATAACGTTAGCTATGCTACGAACAGGCTCTTGCTGACGAGAAAGGCAAGCTTCCAGCCTCGTGAAGGTCTAGGGGTCCTCTCACCGTCGCGTTGTTCTTCGATCACGGATACCCCCATTTTGTCTTAGCCCGTAGGCACTACGGAGATATTATGGTGACGCGCTATTTCTACGAGGTTTTCGACGTTAAGGAACACGACGTGTTGTGTAATTGGTGAGCTCGGAAGTAGGAGGTAGGTAGGTTAAAGGCAAGCTCCTACAAGATATACCTATTAACCAACGTGTCGCTATCGGGAATTGTTGTTCGCATGTACGAGTAACGAGTTCCGGTAGGCGCGTATGGTGATAAGAGATGGACGTAAGAGGAATTTACCTGTATCACCAAAGCATATGCAAGTTTCTGGTATCGATGAACGCATTACACCTAGCAACGTGGTAAGAGGATTTGAGTTTCAGAGAGACGGGACTGTGAGAATGTAGTAAAGTGGTAAAGTTGGTTCTTGGCCCTTGGCGGGGTTCGGTTTCAGGGCGCCAATCCGCTAATGCGACCGAGTTGGACACTGGAAAGCCCCACTTCGTCGCTAGCGGACAACATGAATTAGCGTACCTACCTAAGGTAGGTATCGTACTTCGTACTACAAGGTATACCCACATGCATCTACAGGAGGCACCCAGCCTTATATAGGTACATTTGTACCTAATACATGCAATTGATGGAATTGTTACATACCTACATGTAAGTAGGTACTCGCAATAGAAGTTTAAAGTTGCGGGACGTCATACGTAGCGTGACACATCAGGTGGTTGTCAAGGTTCTTAGTTAATGAAGATATGATGGAACTAATAAGTCAAGCCACGATTGATATAATCCAGCCACTTAAGTTATATTGTTCCGTATTAAGGCATTTATAGAGTAACCAGACTCAAGTCTATTAACAGTCTGGAAAAGGGGTATTCATATTAAAGATTAAATAGTCCCATATATAATAACATGTGACTAAAGACGTGCGGTGTGTTTTATCCGGTCCCCAAGTATTTCTCCACATCCGAATTGCTGTAGAGCTGCCGCCGAAGTTTTTCATGCCGTTTCTTATCCTCCAAGGCCATCCTCCGCACCTTTTTGGCGTCATAAGTCTTCGCCTTCTCCTTCTTGGGCGGTAGGTTCTTTGGCACTTGGACCCCTATCCCTAGGGTATCATTCTTTGGTTTTACTTTGATGGGATATTGCACACCCTGTTGTTCAACGCCCAGTCCCTTTCGTGAGTCTGGATCCCAGCCTTGAGACTGAAGGATATTCAACCCCATTCGCGACCGGTCTAGTGCCGAAGGCGGGTGCGAATGAGTTAGGCATACCTGATGTGCTATCGAAGCTTCATGTGGCCGAGAGCTTGTCTTTGCTTTCCCATCGGAGTCGGGACCCTCTTCCAGGGGTTCCTCCAAGGGCAACCGGCAGATTTCACAGGCTCGAGGAATTATAGCAACATCTGAACTCTCTTTTGAGGTGGATTGGCTAACCTCCTTTTCCTTAGGCAATACAATGCTCAGGTATAAATCAGCTACAGATTTGGAAGTTTTCGTAGCTGTGTCTTCTTCTGTAGTGTTGAGGTTACCTGAAGAAGCAGGGACGAAAACGACCCGTTTTCGCTTTAGTCCTGATCCAAATGGTCGCTTGTCTTGAAGAGGGATGTCGTATTCAGGATCGCTCCACTCATCAGACACCATTTTGATAATTAATGAAGTGCAACCATCTGGGCAGAAACCTATATTCGTAGATAGTTGTAATCTTTTATGTTGTGCGCGAAGGAAATAAAGAATAGTGAAAGTCAGGAAGTCAGGAAGTTGGAAGAGCTGATAGGTTATGTGAATTACATAGGTGCCTAGGTACCTCACTACATTTGACCCGACCCTGCCTCCTACAAATTTGGGTTAGCGCATTCGCCGCTTTTGCTCAGGCACGTGCCTAGCTCAGCTGGATTCAGCTGGATTTATGCATACTTTCAGCAGTTATGCAAATAAACCGGACTACATGCCAAAAATTATGCACTAACTATTAACTTAGAACGTCAACTTAGAGGTTGTGGCAGGTGATTACGTAATTACAGGTAGCTATACTGAAAATTATTGGGCTTTGCCCCAGTAATTATCAACTTAACCTAATCAACATCATTCTACCCCGTCATCAAGGTCTAAGCTAGGCGAGACAAAGTATCTAGGTGGTGTTGGAGTGTTGGAGTGTTGGATGACCCAGAGATTTGGCCCCCTGGTAGTTATAATCAATATTACGTATAACATCTCCCACTCCTTTTCAACCCTTACCTCCTTCCTTTTAGCCCTTGCATCCCATTTCAAAATTTATTTGGCGTATAAAAGTAATTGTAAGGCCCATTCATGCCCATCCATGCATTTAAGTCCGTCTAACTATGTAGCCAGATGTTGCATAATATTGATAGCTGCTCGCCTCACGATCGTGGAAGCCTTGCACTATGTCTAGACGATTATTCTATAGTCTTTCTATCTTAATTTCCATATCAGCATTGTTTCTTGCTCGGTTTATAACTCTGAGCCCAAGTCCCAAGTCACCTCCTGTTGTCATTGGTCGCGCAAATGTTGTCTTGTTTCTCGTCAACAGCGAAGCTGGGTTATCGAATGTGTTCGTAGCAATAGCAAAATCTGTGCTGGAACAGCATCCCGCGGTGACGATACACTTTGTATCATTCGCACCCCTAGCACCTCAACTAGAGCGCATTTCCTCGTATATTCGCGTCAAGAACCCATCCAACCCCGCTCCAGATATCAGATTGTCTGGCAGAATAATGTCCAACATGGTCCATCGAATCACACTTGATTTTTTAGCAATTTGGTATATGTCAACTAAACGTGAGAGGTGATTTTCAACCGCTAGAAGAATGAAACCTACCTAAGTTGGTGCAAGGAGAGGCCAACTCAAAAACGCCCTTGGGGGCACCTGGTTCAGCTGGCTTGTATTGTACAGGTACTTAGGTAATTCAGGTAAGCCTCAAGTGCGGCTCAGGTTTAAAGCGGCGTTGCCTAGGTACCTATGTACCTATTTATGTAATATACAAAAGTGGGCACCATCTCGGCACATTCAGCCTTGCATTTCCGATCTGTCAACCCCTGTAATCCGTAAAGATCTAAAGGACAGAAAAAAGTTGTCGCCACAGCCCCCTGTACAACGCTACGCCATATTCACGGATTGCTTAGAAATGGATGCTTCCGCCAGCTGGACTTTCCACCAACGACTTCTTCTCAAATTTCCCTTAGAATTTCAATTGCCTTTACCCGGCTATCATGCCAATTCCATTCTTCTACGACGTACTGGTAAATGGCCCCCCGGCTTGGACTCCCGATTGGGCGCGCGACCCATGGACCTTGTTCCAAATTGGAGCTGTTGCCGGATTCCTGTACCTTCTAAAGCGATACTCTGCCGGAACTGTGAGCATGGCAGAACGCAAAATGCATGGCCGGATAGTCATGATAACTGGTGGGACATCAGGAATAGGCGCTGCTGTAACACGAGACTTGGCTGAACGAGGAGCCCAAATTGTGCTTCTTACCCACCTGCCGCCGTCGAACCCCTTCCTCGCTGATTATATCGGAGAGTTACGTCAACGAACGAAGAACCAAATGATATATGCGGAACAGGTCGACCTCTCTTCTCTACATAGCATTCGTAAATTTGCTACCAAATGGATCGATAACGCACCGCCCCGCCGGTTGGACATGCTCATTCTATGTGCTGCTACCATTACACCACCAGGGGGCAAACGTACGGAGACGGAAGAAGGGATTGAAGAGATGTGGATGGTCAATTATCTCGCCAACTTCCATCTATTGGGGATATTAAGTCCGGCTCTCCGAGCCCAACCCTTCGATCGCGACGTACGAATAATCATTCCGACCTGTTCCTCTTACATTCGGTCTCCGACGCTCAACAGTGCGCTCGTGAAGAAGGAATGGACCCCGGGGAAAGCTTATGCCCGAAGCAAGTTGGCGTTAATGGTATTTGGGCAAGCGTATCAAAAACATCTCGATGCGTACAAGCGACCAGACGAACTTCCAATGAACTCCCGAGTCATCTTTGTCGACCCTGGCTTTACGCGCACTCCTGGGATGCGGCGATGGTTGACACGGGGCTCGCTCTGGGGACTTGCGGTATATGTATTATCTTACGTAGTACCCTGGTTTCTTTTAAAGAGCCCGGAAATGGGTGCCCAGTCTATTCTTCATGCTGTTATGGATCCAAGGCTAGGGATGGGACCGGGTGGCAAGCTTATTAAGGAATGTAGCGAGGTTGACTTTGCGAGGATGGAGGTAAAGGATGAAGAGGTAGCAAAAAAGCTGTGGGAAGCCAGTGACAAGCTTATTGAGAAGACCGAGAAAGAACAGGCAGCGCTAAGAGTTTTAGAAAAGAAAAAGCAAGAGTTAAAAGAGCAGGAAAAAAAGGAAGCAGAGAAGGCCGAGGAGATTGACTCGTTAATAAACACGATCAAGAAGGGGAAAGAGGCCGAAAAGAAAACTTCGCGACGGAAGGGTAAGAAGACTTCGTCATGAATAGACTTCTAAATAGATGGTTTAATTCTAAGTATCCTCGCTCTAATTCTCTTGTGCAACTTTCGACGAAAGAGTCTCAATGAACTGAGGAGGATATATTGAATACCTTAGGTTGAGTAACTATCCCATTACTTAAACTTGCATATTTCCCCCAACGACTTACACAGCAACGTTCTAACCTAGACGTAAAGGATTAAACTGCATTAGTTTACCTGTAGATCTAGCCTAATTTGCTATAGATGTGCGCTAGCATCATTATTGCATGGGTTAAACGTACCGAGTATACGTTATGCATTTCAACGAGACACAAGGGATTAACCTAGAGGTTCCACCGTAGGGCAACATTGATTCCTACCTACCTCTAGGAAAGTATCATCGTAATAAATAAATATCTACTAATTTCCAATCTGTTTTATTTCTTCAATCGAACGGGACATAATGCTGCGGCACTCGGTATCTCAAATCTTCGGCTTAAAGCACCCTGCTTTATCCCCACGTGAGAATGACGACATTGGACGACAACCTCGGGTTAGTTTCAATTTCACAGCTACGGCTTCGTCCTTATCTTCATTTACTAACTCTTACATCCAGCCGCCCAACGTAACAACAAATCAGTTGTCGGCTCAAATGTCACCTCACGAATCCGACATTATATTCCCAAATGTCTTATCTCTAAACTCATCACCTCAGTCGTCATACTCTCAAGAGCCAATTTCAATGCCGATGCCCACTCCGGTTCCGGTCCCGGCAGTTCAGCCATTGCCGCTGCCCGGTCACATGCCGCAAGGTATCGCGGCACCGATACCATACACTTCGACACTTGCGACTATGAAAATGGACGCTTCGAGTCTGCATCCTGTTTTCTTCACCGAGAGGTTACAGAGGTCACCGTTCGTGTTTGACGCAGCGGGAGTAACTAGCCCCGTTGCCCATGGATACGCCTATCCGGAAACACAGCGGAGAACCGATGGAACTATTTCTTCTAGATTATGAGGGATGCTTTTTGTGGGAAAATCGGTAGAGGGGGAGGTCGTGAATCAATATTTCGGCCAAGAATATGGATAGTCGAGTACTCTTAGCAATCTTTGAGCTTGTCTAAAGAAGCTATTCTTATTATATCATAAGGCGACCTGCTTGCTACAGAATTGGCTATAATTACCTATAGGAGGCAAAAGCCTACATACCTCTTATAGCGGCTTGAACCAATCTGCTTGTTAAAGATACAGAACTATATGTACATAGCTACAAACGAGAATACACCTGGTATCCTAAAGCAATCCCTCCGGCTCGAGTACCGACGCCAACAAAAAGAACAAGGCATGTTGTTTCTTTTTCGTCTATTCGTGAGCCTTGGTATTGGCAAAGACTTACATCCTCTCCACTTGTCAGCCTAGAAAAAAACGCCGTTAAAAACACAACAAATTAGGAGGCTTTTCACGCTCTCTTCCTTAGCCCGCGCATGGATATCCCCTAGCTCTCAAAGAACGTATACATGCACGCTGCTGTACTTCCGACTCATCCCGCAGCATTCTTGACTGTAATCACAATCGCGACAATGATCAAGAGGATTACTACTATGAGCAGCGCCATCAACTTGACGTTTTTCCACCACATCTGTCTTTTGAGACCGCGACTGCGCACTCTGAACTCTCGCGCGCTGCCACCGAGGCGGTCTGTCTTGTCAACAAGTAAGTCGATGCGCTCGCCTCTCTCGAGTAGACCCTCGATGTTGCGGGTCATGATGCCACGGACGTCATCGATCTCGCGCTGGACATTGGTGATGGCATCGTCGCGGCCACCGCTCGTGGTGCCGAACTCGACCATCAGGTTTTTGAGCTCGGCATTGAAGCTTCCCGCGCCATAGTTAGGCATGTCGGCAAAGTCGGCCGTCTCCGCGGAGAACTCGTTGAAGAAGCGCTTGCGGATCTCGAATAGGAAGCCGAAGGGCACGCGCCGGCCCAGCGACGACTCCGCGATCACGAGGAACGTCAACCCGCCGGCCGACCGGTTGCCCGGATGCGCCGAGGGCGCTTCCGATATGTAGTGGATGTGGTGCGAGCCATGCGTGTACGTGAGCTTCTGAGGAGTGTCGTGGTTGATCTTGGGGAGAATAAGGGAGGCGAGCGACGAGGTTTGCGACGAGGCCGAAGTCGTACATTCAGCTAGTATGGTAGTATGATGCGCGATGCACGAACTGCGCTTGTTAGCTACGCTCATTGGCTCCTTTTTGATCGATAAGATGGATCAGGACGTACTAGAGAAGTGGAGTTTGAGGTGTCGAGGAGGACGCCATCGTGAATGATGTATCGAGACACTCAATCTATGTAGAATGTAGCTGATCGCTCGAGACTTTTGATAGTATTCGTGGGTTTCAGTCTTGATTATCCAGTAACCTAGGAGAGGAATATCTAGGAGGGGGGGGACCTTCGAAGGTAAGGGATAGGATTGGCAAATGGATTGACAAAAATCAAGTCAGCAAGTTCAGGCGGCAGGGCGGTTGGGGTGAGGTGAGGCTACCTTTCTTAGGCGAACTCAAGATGCATTAATGACGATGGGGGATGGGGGAATGGGGGAATGCATTAAGTGATGCACTAGCCAACATTAGCCAATAAAAGACCGAGCTTAAGAACCAGTATATCACAATAGGCAAGTACTGTTTGTACTCCGTGCGTACCTACATACCTAGGTACCTAGGTACGCAATGCAAGTCGTACTACATGTATGTAAGCGTCCCTCGGATAAGCCACGGATTTATCGATAAGAAAAATTCATGTATCTTATCGGTTGGTCGCCCACCATCGTTGAAGTTTCTAAGGTATGAGGTCTGTGATTTGCCTCCCATTGAATACTTCGTTTGCTTCGTTAGCTTCAGGGTTGGTGGCAAGCCATTTTTAATGCAAATGGATCAAAATCTGATATGATTCCTGACCTCTTTCTTATTCCTTATATGTGAAATGCACTTCCCTCTCAGGGCTAGACCGGCTAGTTCAAGCTATGCGACTCGCGCATATCACAGACAAGTCGTTGGAAATGTTTCCCTTAGAAGGGCTTCCTTTAGACATGCCTTTACAACATTCAGTGCCGCGGCTCGCGTCCAAAAAAAGTCGAGTACAAACCCCTGGGCGAAAAAGTTCCAGGTAAGAAGAATATAAAACTATCCAACCATAAATAATAAATATTAACAATTTATATCGGTCGAAGCCAGGTGTGCCGTCGTTTAGTAATCCAAGATATCTAGAAGCTCAAACTCGTTTGAATAAATTAGGCGAAAACGGTCCTAAGAATTCTAAACTGTCGCAAAGAGAAGCGACCAAGACCTATGGCATATTCCGAAACCTAACTCTCGGTAGATATGACCTGTTGATGACTACTACGAATGGTTGGGAAGCTAAGCAGGATGAGTACAAATCATTCGGTGTCAACTCCAAGATGGACTTAGACCGCGAGGCAAAGCTGTTTAGGAATTCGATTGCAAGAGCCTACGATCTTGCGAGCGAGAAGAATGCTATCTCAAAGCTTGAAAACCCCTTGTTCTGGGGCTTGCGCAATGCTTTCGTTGAGAATGATATAGTTGGGCTCTCTGAGGAGTTGGCCTATGGCTTCCAAAACTTTCTTATGCGCTCGAGATTTCCCAAGAATATCGTCTCTACGCATAAGAAGATCGCGGATTTTCGGTTCCCCTACGAGTGGTTTCCTGCTACACGGGCTATGCAACGCACAATTTATCTTCATGTCGGTCCGACCAACTCTGGGAAAACTTACAATGCCCTAAAGGCGCTTGAAAACTCCAATTCCGGTATCTACGCGGGGCCTCTTCGGCTGTTAGCACATGAAGTATATACTCGCTTTAATGCTAAGGGCAAGAAATGCGCCTTGATCACCGGTGAAGAACAGCGTATTCCTGAGGACGAAGACAATTATTTTAGAAGCTGTACAGTTGAGATGGCCCCTCTTAACTTACCAGTGGATGTTGCAGTCATCGATGAGATCCAAATGATTGGAGATAGCGAAAGAGGGTGGGCGTGGACTCAAGCGGTCCTAGGTGTACAAGCCAAGGAAGTCCATCTCTGTGGAGAGGAGCGCGCCGTGGAACTGATTCAGTCTCTATGCGATACTATTGGCGATAAATGCGTTATAACGAGATATAACAGACTCAGCCCGCTAGAAACCATGGATAAAAGCCTAGATAACTACTCAGACCTTCAAAAGGGGGACGCTGTCATCACATTCTCCCGACTTACCATCCACGCCATAAAGAATCAGATCGAGAAGCTTACAGGGCGCCGATGTGCCATGGTCTACGGATCATTGCCACCCGAAACTCGCGCTCAGCAGGCCGCACTTTTCAATGATCCCGATAACGAGTACGATTTTCTCGTCGCTAGTGACGCTATTGGCATGGGTCTCAATTTAGAAATCAAACGGATCATCTTTGAGCAAACGCACAAACGCACGAAAACCGGCTGGCGGCAAATATCAGTGTCCGAAATCAGGCAGATAGGAGGCAGAGCTGGCCGTTACAGGACGGCACGCCAAGCAACCGAATCAGAATCGACAACGGACGTAAATGGAGACAAGACAATTGGAACCCCACCGCCCAAAGCTGGCCAGCCTGGATATGTGACGACTCTAGAAAAGGCTGACCTTCCTGTCGTCAAGGAGGCATTCCTTCGCGAGCCGGAACCTATACTGTCGGCTGGTATACAGCCACCACCGTCGGTCATCGAGCGATTTTCATCCTACTTCCCGCCTAATACTCCGTTCAGCTATATAATATCTCGCTTGCGAGACATCGCCCAAGTTTCTTCGAGATTTCATATGTGCGGTCTAAAAGAAATGCTAGCGGTTTCTGATCATATCCAACCCTATCCCATGTCAGTTTATGATCGATGCGTCTTCCTAAATGCGCCGGTCTATCTGGCTGATAAGGCGGGCGTTCAGATACTAAAATCTTTCGCGAAGTGCGTCTCTAATATGGAAGGAGGCGAACTCCTCAGCATCCCGGGGATCGACTTGGAACTTCTTGACACGGGCAAGGAGGCCTTCGGTGACTCGCCAGAGCATCTGCGACGACTAGAGACTCTTCACAAGATGATAACACTCTACCTCTGGCTTAGCTATCGGTACTCTGGCGTCTTTCGAAGCCAGAACCTTGCCTTCCACGTGAAGGAATTATTGGAGGCTCGGATCGATGCTCATCTGGCTAAGATCAGCGTTAACACCGCGAAGCGTAGAGCAAGATTAGAAAAGATTCGTAAGGAAGCTAGTGAGTCGGAGCGTAAGAAAGAAAGAGTTCTTGGTGGAAATGCTTCGGTTGATGGACCCGGACACGAAATACTTGGCGAATGGAATGAGGAAGGGCATCAAGAACCCTTATATGACAGCCCTAAGGAACTGGCACCCATCACTCGGCTAGAGCCGCGCTCTAAAAAAGAAATGAGGCCGTAGACTGGTATAAATTACTGGCTTCGTACGTATATATCCAGGGATGTAACACAATGTACAATATGGCGACTAGCGAGGACTAAGTCTGCAGGATAACTCCAATCACATATAGCCCTCCTATAGGCCAGGTATAAACATACCAAAAATGGGACAATGATAAAGAATACATATGTAAGACTTGAGAGGTACCTGTATCTAATATATAGGTACATATAATTAGAGTAAGGAGGAAAGTGCATACACACATGTATGCATGTACTAGTTATTCATAACTAATTAGAAGAAGGAAGATCTTTCAACATAGAAAAAGAAGCAAGGCAAGTGCTTTATAAAGAAAGGCAACGCTACCTAAGGCATATGCAACACTGTTGGAAGCGCGGTAGATATTGCGTAAGATATCTTTACCGACTTCAACCTTTCAATATTCTTATCTGTCTTCTACCTAACCAAGCCATGTTTGCCTTGGTATAGTCCTCCCTATAAGTCGTATTTCACATGATCGAAATTCCTATATCAACAATGGATCTTTTGTCACCCTCGCATAAAATTAACTCTTTAAAGTGACAAGACCTAATGACTATTATTCATCCCCACCCCTTAATAAAAATGCCCCGGTTCCTCGCTATGGGGGGCAGCGCTGAAGATAGAAGCTCGTCATCAGAATGGTCTCACCGGAGCACTACCAGTCGATAGCGACCTCCCAGCATCTCCGGTATGGACGGACCAACGAGCAGGCTACCGTCATCATCAGTACCAACTACGCACCCCTCTGGACGGCAAATTGTGAAAGAGTCATACAAGAGTGCGCCGGTCACCCCGAATACATATATTGATCCGCCGCGGCCGGCCAGAGAAGGCTGCGAATGGGTCTGGTTTCCGGCAGGCTATTGGGCCGAGCGCGAAGTCGCTGAAAGCCCTGGAAAGGTCATGAGACACTTCAAATGGCGAAAGCGCTCTGGCAAGAGTAGCTCCGGCTGGGATACCCAAGATGGTTTGGAGAACTCATCCAGTAGTCTATGGGATCATATACCAAGGATTTCCCAGCCTTTACCTAGCCCCCTTCCTAGCGAGGACAGCCATAACCAGTCATTTCAGGGGCTATCATTCAACCGCCATGGCACGAGCAGCGAGAGCGGCAAGTCTATGTTCCCTCTTAATCGAACGACACAATCACCACTGCCCAGCCCCTATCTAACAGAAGAAGCCCACGTCCAGTCTTTACAGAGATCACCCCAATGGTTTCAAGGCAGCGAAGGTGGTATTTCATTTTCGGGACCGGCTAGACCGATACAAAGCTCACCACTTACAATAATAAGTGGTAATTCAGACTCTGCTACTCCCCTTGCAACTTCTGCAAGCCAACTGCCAAGCACTTCGGGAGCTTCAGTTTCGCCTATCGTCAATTTACCTACAACTATGCCCGACGCCAAACCTAGGAAATCGTTCTTTTTAAGGCTCTTCCCGGACCATAGGCTAGTAAGTCGAGGGAACGTGTTTGAGTTTCGATATACCCCTAGTTATCTCTTATTCCCCCAAGTGTACCTGGGCACTGACGAGGACATTACACGATTGATGTAGAAAATCAAGAAGATGTACAGCGACAATGACGCATACGACTATACGGCAAGCACGGTGACGGGGGCACAAGCACAACTCTTGGGTCACGGTCACAGCCGTTCGCCTGCGCCGCTCATGGGTCGCGCGGCATCGCTACTACGCGAGCAGAGCAAGAGGCGGCGTTCGTTTAAGCTCTTCGGAAAGAGCCCCTGGCATCGCGAGGCGTCTGCCAGCTCTGACGTGAGCACCTCAAGCTCCATCCGCGACGTGCTCCGGGGCCGGACACCTGTCACGAGCCCGGTCTCGTATATCGGTGTGTATCTCTAAGACCCCTACAGTTTGAGACTGTTACAATAGTTATATAGAAGAACAGATGGGAGGATAGGCACAAGCGGACTAGGCAAACAAGAGACGGCCTGACTAACAGATTTATATAGAACCGGCGCATGCATTTTGCGCGGAGTTCCCTGGCGGTGTAAGTCTGACGACTACAATATTTGCGTTGACACTCGATCCGCTTACTTAACAACTAGGAGGCAACTCGCATAAAGACACCCCCTCTGCGCGGGAGCGGCCATCATGCTTGCAAGCCACAGTCCTTCTTCTTCGATATCTCAGCACCACCGATCCACCACGGAAGCGGCAGCAATAGCAACAGCGAGCCTGAACCTTCTCGCGGCCCTGCACCTCTTTCCCCTTCTACTCCCGAGCGTAATACTGTGTAGGACCGGGATATGCAGGAGAGAGACAAGAGGAAGAGCAGCTCGAGCAAAGAGTGGTGGGAGGTGCCGGTGGCTCTAAACCGATATGAAACCGCAGCGCACGGCTCTTTCGAGTTTGACATGCCGGAGCATCTGCCCAACAGTCCCATGTGCCCGGCCAACAAGAGGCACTCATCCGGTGGCACGGGGATCTGCGTGTACCATGGCAGAAGGAAGAAGAGTAGAGACATGCTGGGCAATGCTAGGAGCGATGTTGATGACGACGACGGGGATAGATGGATATAGATAAGCCGTTGATTAGCTGAGATATCATCAGTTGTAGACGGAATATATTACTATGATAAAAATATCTTCGCTGAACCACGATATATTAGGTTACTCTTTTACAATATTGTTGTATTACATAGCACCAGAGATGAAATCTCGACGAACCCCGAGAACGCTCGTTGAATGATCGAACCAGCAGGGCATAACGCAAAACATTGCTCGGTCCGAGCCAGTCCTACCTCCAGCTCCTAGATTAAGAAGGCATCCCTGCTCCCGTCTGATTCGTAGTGAGTCCCGCTATGCAAAGCCTTCCTGTAGATATTCTAGCTGAGTCCCCAAGAGCAGCCCTAGAACCTAGGACCCCTCGGGATACCGGTCCATCCACAACCACCATCGCGGCCGCCGGACCGGCGCGGCGGACAACACGTAGGACATCTAGTCGTGGGTCTGGATCTTGTGGTCGCCCTTGACGGCCTCGGCGTAGGTAGGCGGGGCGTTGCCCTCGTCGTCGTGGGCGTCGGAGGGACCAGCAGACGAAGAAGCGTTGTGGTTGTTGTCGGTAGCGCCGTAGTTTGGCTGCGCGTTAGAGGCAGACTTGGGATGGGCCTGAGGGCGGGCTTGGGGCTGGGGCTCCTGCACGAAGACGTAGGTGACGTGGGCGCGCTCGCTGTCCTGCGGCACGACTTCGTACTCGTACGACTCGGGGAACTTGGAGATTATGTACCAGGCGTGTATGAGGCCGGGGAGCTGTGGGATGGTTAGAAAGAATTGAGATTGAGATTGGGATTGGGATTGATGCGGATAGGGTATGCATGGGGGTGGATATCGTGGGTCGTGGAGTATGTGGTAGGGTAGGGTGGGACTTACGTAGCCTAGTACACATAGCAGGACGTTGATGATGGAGTCGGCGGAGCAGAGACCGGTTTTAACCCAGACTATTAATTATATTGCATCGTTAGCTATTTGCCTCTAAATCGCAATCGGCGGTTAAATCGCAATAGTAGTTGATGGCTGTTCGTGGCCGTTGTGAGATGGATTGTCTATCCACGCAAGGCAGACGAATAACGAGGGCTCGTGGGTGAGGGGGGGCAAGACTCATTGGGGGGATGACGTACCCGGCAGAGGGGGGAATAGGATAGCCAGAAGGCCGAGGAACAGGTCCGCGGAACACATGTTGATATGATTTTCGGTTTTCCTTTTTTTACGTATGTGGAAGGGAAATAACAATAAGGAAATCTAGAAATAAATTGCGAAGAGTGTTGTGTTGTATAGAGGTGGGTAGGTAGGTAGGTATGTGTATAAAAGAAGACTAGGTAGGTTTAGGAGGATCGTAAGTTGCAGAAAAGTTGGTGATGAATGAATGGGGCGTTATGCGAGCTGAGTCCGGGGGTGGGTAAGGACAGTATGGAGGATTACTTCATACCTTCCTCGTTGGGGGACGGGTACAGGGTTGAGGCAAGCTAATTCTAGCGCTAGGACCCGGGTATTTTATAGTGGGTGATGTATGACGCTACGTTACCGCACTGTGTTCTTGGATTGATGTGGCTCCTTCTTCTGTGGCTGACAGCGGAAGAATAATTAGGTCGTCCATGTAGTTCAGGAAATTTAAATTTCCTGTTACGCCTCAATCCGCAACAACACTGGTAGACTTTGGCGGTAGAGTAAACGAGTTCCGAGACCCTCTTGACGAACTGGCCGAAAACATACCTAACGAAATGTTCCAAAAAAAAAAAAAAAAAAAAAAAAAAAAACATCAAGCCCGTTACTCGGGTTCTCAGCAAGCCCTTAGACACTGGATTATCCAACAAAATCATGGAGGAAGGTATGTTGAATCACAACCAAGACAACCAAGACAGCTACAACCAGCTCCTCCTATCACACAGCGTAGATGTATCCAAGTCTGAACTTATAGAGGAAATCAAGGGAGAGGCACTAGCATTAATTTCTCTAGGCCGGCCTTCCATGGTACAAACTAGCCAGACTCCGATGCCAAAAATATCGCCACAAATTGATAGCCAGCAGCCGGAAACTACTACAGAAATATCATCAGCACTCAATAGCAATACCAAGGCATTAATTAATCTGAATGCGCTTTTAGGCCGGGAATGGAACGGGGCAACTCGAAGTGCAACTATGATCAAGCCTTGCACAGATCATGAAGAAGTCGGAAGGCTTGTCAGAGACGATGCGTTACCGACAATGCTCAAGCTAATGATATTATGGGTTTTAGCGGTTAGGTCGTGGATGTCTCCGAGGAAAACTGTTCGATTGCGTGGAGGGAATGCTAGCTAGCAACTAGCGATACGTCGTCATTTTCGGATATTTAACGAAGGAAAGGTCCGAGGATGTAAAGAGGTAGGGGCAAATCGTATAATGAGAAGCAATCATGACAATGTTAGTTACGATATGCCTCATAAACATATAGGTTTTCATATGAGTCTAGGTATTCTACACCGTCAATGAATTTTTAAGATGGGAAAGCCTACTTAACAGTTAAAAGGGGGTAGCTATCACTTTTATGGCAGTTAACTACCAGGTAACCTAACCTAAGGTATTTAGAAAATCATTCTCTGCCCCCTTTTTGTGGTTATTTTTTTTTAATTCCCCCTTTTTTTGAATGTTGATTTAATATTCATAATTAGTAAGCTTCCATAGAATGCTCAAGATTTCTTTCTTAATGTGGCTACTTATTATCAATATTCTATCATGTAGTATCTGATATGACTACCGAACATACTTTCTATGCCCTCTTCGTGGCTAGAATCATCACAACCGGTGTCCTAGTCTTAACTTGTTTCCCTTCCAAAGCACGCTCTAACTCATCCCAAATGTCTTGTATTTCTGACTCTTGGATGGGCGGTTCCCAGGTAGCAGCATAGCCTTTGAGCCACTCGATACCACACATGTCACACCAATCATCATCTTCTACCCAGACTTTCTCCTCGCTTTCCTTGACCCTGCTTTCAACTGTCCTGTCATCCAGCATGAAGCTGTCGAGAGTCCCCTGGGTATTGATGTATATCCTCTTTAAAGCCTCCCAATCTTTCTCGGGGAACTCCAAGCTTTCAAGTGCAGTGTTGTTGATTTTACAAGCCCTCTCACATATCTCGCCTTGAACTTTCTTCGAAAAAGCATCCCAGACAGCCTTATAGGCCCTTACAGCCCGCTCGTTTGCCTCAATGAGCGGGCGAGTATAATATGTGATCGCAAGCGTCCCACCAGCTCCAAGCTGCCTCCCGAATTCCCTGATAGCAATTTCCGGCGTAGTCCAATGAATACACTCGCACGCGGTAACCAGATCGACAATACCCGATTCAAGTGAGCTTTCCTCGGCAGTTTCTTGAAGGAACTTGAATTTAGACTCGGGGAACGATGTCTTTTCAAGTATGAATTCTCGGGCGAGCTCAGCATATCCGTCGTTAGGGTCCGAGACTATGACGCTGTCGAAGCGACTAGCGAGGACTGAAGAGACGACCCCACAACCAGCGCCAATATCATGAGCTACGGACCAAGCCGTCCCGGCTTTTTGGGCATGGTAGTTATAGATGCGCTCGAAAAACGATTGCGGGTAGGCTGGGCGGTAGGCTAGATAGTTTGACCAGTCGACACCTTGGCGGGCAGAAAATGCAAATTTTTTGCCTGCAATATCTATGCTACGCTTTGAAATTGGAGCAGAAGCCATGGCGAGATAATGTGTGAGGTGGAAGCGCGATGGAAATTTTTGGATGAGATTGCCCAAAAAAAAAAGAAAAGAAAAAAACCCCCAGAAAACACTTCTACTATAAAGACCGTCTTCTTCCGAAGAATTGTCCCCTCTTATACGTATATTGCCTCACGTAGTACAGGGCGGAGGTTTAAACAAAGCGAATACGACATTGCGTATCAAGTATCGTGATGTATCCGCTCTTGTGACGTTCCTAAGTTGGAGATGGCACTCCCCGGAATGGAGGGACAGATAAGACATATACATACGCCCGAAGCATGGTGCCAATTTAGGAACTCCAGAATAATAGAAATCTGGAATGTAAGTAAATAACTTGGCCTGAATTGGGAACCTGGCTTAACCTAACCTTAGGTACCTAAGGCACCTAAATTACCTATTATTTCAAAGATTTCTATCAGTTTAAACGCAAAACATCTCTGTTTCCATTGGCAGGCAATGAGTTAAAAATTAATTGATCAAGTACAAAGCCATTCCTATACATAAGGGCTTACAGTAGCCTTCTCTGAGGCTTATCTAGGCCAATAAGCTAAAAGGTCCCCCTCCTTCAGCCAGTTTCGATAATCGGAAAGGGGCCTCACAGTATGCATAGGTACGCTTTAAGAAGCACATTTAAGACATTATGAAAACCACCACGCAATCATCCCAATATATCAAAGTAGATAAGCCATATCAGGTTGCAGTATCTGTCGAACATACTGCTACACCACTAAAAGGTAATTTCGTAATAATGTTTAGGCTATTACAGTATAATATCTGATAGTATACGAGCGAAGAAGATAAAGCAATAAAGAGGCGATTTTGGCCACGGATATGTTTTCTATATTGGAGAGCAGGAGCTTGGCTTGTACTATAATTGCTTTATTGAGGCATTTAAATAACCAGTGTAGTGGGAGAGTTGGTTGACAGTGTCCTTCCGATTTGGTTTCAATGACCAAGATAACAATATATCACAATACAATAACCCTTCGTTGCTTTTCTTTTCAAATGAGTGACGCCGTGGACAACTACCATAGTCAGGTACCGCCATTGAAAGAGTGTCCGTAAGCCCCTGGTTGGTCCTGCACCTAGACTGTTCCCGCAGAGAGTCAACATTCCAACTGCTATACTCCTGACTCTTAACTGAAGAGATAGAAACATTCCATGGAGAGGAAGCCATGACCATAGTTTGAGGCACAGTTGCCGCTGTTGTACGCAACAGTCTGCGAAGCACCCTGTAAAGCTGTTAGATTGTTTTTTCATGGCGGCATTTAATCTAATATATGTTAGATCTTGGGTCTTTTACCTGGCAGCCTGACTGAGCATAGAAGGTGCAGTAGCACGTGTAGCCCCCCGGAGCATCACAGTTGGCGATGTTGGCGCTATTGTCGCCATTGTATGAGTATCCATAGCAGCTACCATCGGTGGACGGGAAGACAGAGGTGAGGTAAGAGGAGCAGCCGCCGTCTGTATAGTAGTTGATCTGGAACCCGCTATCTCGCGACTCTATTTCTCCTTTAGCAGCATCTCGCTCCGCAATATTTCCAGGCTTCTCAGGAGTTGCCAATGCCGCAGCAAAAACCTGAGCGGCAAAGGGGAGCGCGAGAAGAGAAAAATGCATGATACTGGGTTGGATAGTAAGGTATGTATGGAAGATTCCTTGGTGGCCGATTTGTTTAGAGAAGATTCGAGAGCGATGTTTACTGACTACTTAGAAGATAGAAAGGCGAGTGAAAAAGGGTCTATATATATATACTGATTTTTTTAATTCCACCTACCCTTTGGAGCTTGATACGTATATGTGTATAAGATGATATGGGGTGGAGACTAGTAGGATCAGTCCATTTACAGCTGCTTATACTACCATAATCCCGCAGTCTCGTAGAGTTTTGATTACCAATAGTATTTTAAGGGGGAAATAGACTATCCACTACCATCTCACGTTCCAAGACAACATTTCGAGCGTGAGGTTGTCTTTACTAACAAGATACTATCAAACTAATGATAACTTAGGAGTTTTACGTACTGGCCTTCAGTTAAAGTGACCAGTTCCGAGAGCCCCCTTTACCTACCTCCTAGGTACATAATTATCAGCTATTAGCTATTTGGTCACTGCGATCCAACTTATTTAACTATGTTGTTTGTAACTTGTTGTGTCATATGACATTTACCTCTTTGGCGCTCTGGGTATACGTGAGTACCTACCCACATAACAGACACGACTTATTCTTAATCGTCCCCAATAACACGCATTTGGTTGACTTGAAGGTTATTAGATATCATCCAAGCTAGCCGCTATCCCAGGAGATCTGGTGCGGTGACATCCTCAATACTACTGCATCTCATCTCAGCTCAACCGGGAATAAAACGGCAGGCTGAAAGCGCTTATGTGGACATAGAAATAGATTACAAATTGAGCCTCTATAAAAGATCGATCCCCCCTTCACTGCAGTATAACACCGATGACCCGAAAATCCAAGCCAATTAACAGGTTCGGACAGGTGCTGACCACTTACACTATTGAAATACCTAGTCAAAATCTATAGGGGCATTCCACTCGGAGCTCTAATACTCCGCTACAAGCTAATTTATAATATAGTTTTTCTTTGCCGTATCATATTCAAACATGCAATTGTTAACAACAACTCAACAACTGCAAGTAAGACGCTCGTAACCCGCTTCTGTTTGAGAGATAACAAGCTGTCGCCGTAACCCAATGAAGACGAGATGTAAGCCAGTCATGGGCCCCGGCTGCAAGGGGAAGAGTTATAATCTGTATTGAGACTGTTGGCTTATTATTTTGTGCTACGCCTGGAATGCAACGGTTGCACAAGGTAATATCCTAACTCAATACCCTATCAAAGCCTTTGTGAGTGTAACCATCAAGTTCGTATCTGCCGGACTTAAGCCTATAGGCTATAATCTCACATGAAATACATGAAAATGATCAAGTGCCGTCCCAAGGATAGTAAGCCGCTAATACCCTTGTCAGAAGACTAAACTGCAAGATATAGTTACACAACTTACCACGCTTACTGACTGGCTGTGAGGCTCTTAAGGTAGGTATATCAGTAGTCCTAAGCGCGCTTACGTAATGCCGCTATACCGTGACATACATAACTTTTACTCTTTCAGAAAGTTATTGTGTTACTCGAAGACATTCGCTAGCTTTCTATATATGTGTACCTTGGGTCTTTACATACCTAAGTACCTAACCTAAATATAGATTTTATACAGGCTAACCTAGTATGATAGGAGAGTAATTTGGAACTAATCTGCCCGCTAGAGATAAAACACCAACACATGATTGAAGGAGCTAAAATCTCATAACCTCGTATTAATGGTTGCGCTTTTATCTGGAATTGCAACATACGTTGGCGAAAAGTTGTCTTTCACTTCATTCATACAATCTAGCCCATACCTTACTCATGCCGTTACATTGAATCCACAACTTGTCCGTAAATATTAGTCAGAAGCTGACGCCAGCTAAAAAGGGGGCCGCTGCTGGCGATAAACCTTTACCGCCGACCGCCATCTACGCGTAAGTCTCGTAAGACTAACCCTATTATGAGATATATCACGATACTTTGTCCCGCTCTTCCGCGTCCTATGGAAAGCTCTTTGCCGGGTACCCGATGATGGCTCATCGTTACTCGTAGGACTAAGAGGCACGGGTTTTAAGCAACGACTTAACATCCAGATATCAGGTCTGCTCCATCCAGACAGTGTCGAGATTTACTCACTATCCTAATTCATCATGATACCCCGGCGTTCCGTTTTAGTAGCCGCAAGTGGCACATTAACGGCTGTGGTTGCCTTAGCTGCATCTGGGCCGGTCTTAAATATCGTTCAGATCGAAACAACTCCCAATGGCTTCACGAGTTCACCTAGGGGGTGGAACCCTTTCGGTATAATTGCAAACCCTAGTACAACGCCGGACTTTTCATTCAACCAGACTGGAGTGATAAGCCAATGCGACGTACTCGCGAAAACCACTGCACTTAAAGACGCCGGATATGTATATTGCAGTCTCGATTCTGGATGGTCTGTAGGTGGCAACGGCGATGAGTTCGGACGTATCATTTATGATTCGTCTATATTTGATATTCCGAGCTTGGCCAGCCACTTACACGCTGAAGGTTTACTCCTGGGCGTGTACGTCGTACCCGGTGCTTTCATCGCCGACGAGGCGAAAACTATCTTTGGGACGGACGTCACTATTGGCTCGGTATGCTCTGGCGATAACGGCTTAGCTCGCTGCAATTTTGATTATTCCCAACCGGCCGTTCAAGATTGGCATAATTCTGTTGTGAACCTATTCGCTTCTTGGTAAGTTTTCACATCAAAGATAAAACCCGGCCGTTTGAAGCTAAGACTTTAGTAAAAGGGGCGTCGACTTCATCAAGCTTGATTATGTGACGCCGGGGTCACCATCAAATAACGTAAACCTGCCTCCTGACTTGAGTGGCGAGGTTATTGCGTATCACCAAGCAATTGCACAATCGGGACGGGAGATGCGTCTGGATATTTCGTGGAAGCTGGACCGTTCACAGGAGTATTTCGACATCTGGGAGACGAATGCTGACTCTATGCGCACCGACCAAGACATCAATAATGGCGGGGAGACTACATTTGTCTCTTGGGAAGTTGTCCAACGGGCCATTGACAACTACCGACAGTATATTACTACTGTGATGCTGTATAATACAACTCTAACCACTTATCCTGATATGGATAACCTGTTTGTAGGTAATCCTGCCTCAGTATCAGGAGTAACAGATGACGAGCGCCAGACTATCATGACACACTGGCTCGGAGCTGGTGCTAACCTTATCATCGGCTCTGATTTAACCAATCTTGATGCATTTGGGCTCAATCTCTTGACAAACACAGATGCTATTGCAATTGCTGACTTTACCTCCCATCACCCGATGCAACCCCGCAATCCAGGAACTGGCTTCCCCAGCTCTCAACAGTTACAGGCGTGGATCGCTGGGCCAGACGCGTCAGGAGTGGCGGTGGTGGTAATCGTTAACTACGGCCCAGACGAAGGCCAAGGCGGCTTTGGGAGTTCATTGTCGGGCGTGCAGACTATTAGGGTATCATGGGGTGACCTCGGGATTAGTGGGGGGTTTGAGGTCCATGATGTATGGGCTAATAATGATTTAGGGGTTGAGAGCTCGGGGTTGACTGTGCAGCTTGGGGAAGGACAAAGCGTTTTATACAAGCTCACTCAATCATAGAGAACTCCGGAAATAGAAGGATTAGTTAGTTGAGAATTAAAATTGAATAGTTATAGAGAAGTAATCGATACCCTCTTTCTCGGCTGATCTTGTTTTGTCGTCCTTGTTAGAATTATAGATGAGACACTTAGTTGTTCTAGGAAGAACCAAATAGAGTTGAGAAAAGTCTACGAAAGACGTACAATTACGTAAAACGTGCAACAGGTGCTAAGGAGACTTGACCAAGCCAATCAGATCTCACCAAGTAAATTTGGAGACTTCGGGGTCTCCCAATTGATGTACAATTGATGTACATATGTGTTACGACACAATATTTCCACTTCAGAGAATCATTTCGAGGCAGAAAAAATCACAAAAATTATCTTGCATCGAATTAATACATCAACATGCGAATCATGCAGAAAGAAAGGGGCTCAACCGGGATTCGAACCCGGGACCACTCACATTTTCAATCCCTTTTGGAAAGAGACCGGGAAGAGAGCATAGCTAACCCGAAGCGAGTATCTTACCACTGGACCATTGAGCCGTATTTTTGATGCTTTTGTTTTGATTGGATAGAATTTCGAATTTCTTGTCTTTGTTTATATGTGAAGCAAAAATATGTGGGTCTATATATATTTCTTAAGTTCTGGTAAGTTCGTAAAGTTGCACATGTAAAGTTCCATGCATGTGCAACTAACTTAATGTGGTAGCTTCCATTAACACGCTCCAGATTGGGGTAGCATCCGACCCTTTTTTTACACGGGTACTTTGGCTGGAGTCTGGGCAAGCGCAAGCCCCGGAAGGTGGACTTCTCCAAGATTGAGGCCATACAGGTACGTAATAAAATGTATGTAGGTACCGTACCTTAGGTACATAATGTATTTCTCCTTTGTCATTCGCACTTGTCATTTGTACTTGCATTTACACTCGCATTTACATTTACCTAACGTGACTTCTTTTAAGCTGCAAGTTGCACCACTTCCAAACCACTTTTCAGACAGACCATTTCTTCCAACTAATCAGCTGCCTTTCTTTTTGACGCCTATACTTTTTTAACTTTGCTATATGCGCCTTCGTTGATCTTTTGAGTCCGCGCATAACAAATTTCCCAACCCATACCTCCTGATACTACATATAGCAACCCCCCCTGGTCTTATTTTTTATTTTTTAAAATCCAGTCGAGATTCAACGCTCAGCTACCATAAACGACGATGCTTTACTTGCTCGACATAGTTTCGTTTGGCTCGACGTAAAATGTTTCTTTCGAGCTTACTAGGTGCCTCGTCAGGCCGGAGGGCTTCCTTTAGATCAAGCAGGTCTAAACAATCCCAAGGTTCTCCTGATGTCTCCCCGTCGCGTCCCCGAAACTTTACTTCCTCTACTCCTGAGTATCTTTCCGACGAGTCGCAAATCCAGCCTGCTAGCCAACCGCCGCCAGATGTACTCGATCTAAACCAGAACCTCGAAAGGCTCGCTGCCCTCTTTCCCAATATCCAAGTCGAAGTCTTCAGGGAGATGCTTGCATCCTTTTCCGAAGAGTCGCGATTATTCATCATCACGGACAAGTTGTTAAAGAACCCTGGTGAATTCGTCAAGGGGCGGCGGAGAGCTAGCGAGCATACCGGCTCGGACTCGAACGCTCTAGTCTCGCGAACAGAGGCATTCAGAACAGCGGAATACAAGAAGGCAGTGCGTACTTTAGCGGCACAAGAGTTCAAGGGTTTACTATCTAGATCCTCGATCGACGCAGTCTTATCCGAGTTCAACTATTCGTATCTCGACGCGCGACAGACCCTCGTGGATCTGTCTTCCAAGACGTGGAAATTCACTATATCTTCTTTTTTCTTTCGTCGTAAGCCCGTGACTTCTGCTGAGGCCGAAACACATCCTCTTATCACATGGAAATCCGCGGACGATGGGTTGATGGTCCCGACTTTAAAGGCAACCGGTAGTGCCGAATTGGATAGAGAGCTGTTCGAAGAGTTGATAATACCATTAAAAGAACGCGAGCAACTACTGAGAGAGGAAAGGGACCGCGCTATGGCCGTTTCATTACTTACGAAGGACGCCGAAGCTCACGAAGCTATGTTTGAGTGCAGTTGCTGTTATTCGGATGTGATTTTCGAAGAGGTTACCGCATGTACTGCCGAAGGGCATATAGTTTGCTTTAACTGCGTTCGCCATTCCATCACCGAGGCGGTTTTTGGGCAGGGATGGCAACGTAGCATCGAGAAGGAAACAGGTGCTCTTCGATGCCCTGCTGTGGCGTCGGTAGAGTGCGAAAGCTGCGTATCACCTGAGCACATCCATCGAGCTATGCAAGGGGAGAAAAACGGAGATGAGATTATACGCAAACTTGAACAACGACTAGCAGAGCATGGACTTTTGTCTAGTGGCTTGCCTTTGGTTCGATGTCCCTTTTGCACCTACGCCGAAGTCGACGATCTATATATACCAGCCAGCATATCTAGACCTAGGATCCGTGTCAGCAATATTCCAAACTTTATCATCATCTTCATTTGCTTGATTATATCTCCCCTTTTATTTCCCATTCTCATATTAGCGTTAGCCTTTGCCGTTTTGTGCTTGAATCGTTCGGTTAGGGATTATATATCTTGGCATTTAGGAGCGGCCATCATAAGGTACCAGCGTCGCCGCCGCGGGTTAAAATTCAACTGCCAGAATCCAACCTGCCGACGTTCGTCTTGTTTATCATGTTCGAAGGCGTGGGTGGATATTCACGTCTGTCACGAGTCGTCTCTTGTCGCCCTACGCACGCAAGTAGAACAGGCGATGTCTATGGCGATCAAGCGTGTCTGTCCCCGGTGCAGCACATCCTTCGTCAAGACAGCTGGATGCAACAAACTGACCTGTCCCTGCGGCTATAAGATGTGCTATGTCTGTCGCAAAAACATCGGCACTCCAAATGAAGGCTACCAGCATTTTTGTCAACATTTCAGGCCCGAGGGCGATGGCCGACAATGTACCGAATGTAGCAAGTGTAATTTATGGGAAGCTGAGAATACCGAGGAAATCCTTCGAAAAGCCAAGATAGAGGCAGAACAGAAATGGAGAGCATCCGAGAAACGCGAACTGTCCGACGCAGAGAAGGCGTATCTCGAAGATGGCGTAGGCAGCTTCAGTCGAGACAAGAGTCTGACATGGCTGCTTCCAAGCGGTAAAGTCCCGAGCATTGAAGAGTTTTGTGATTTTGTTATAGAGACCTTGTTTGTATAGCGGAACGGACCGAGTTGGGCACGGAGTTTTGGTAAAATGGAGCATTATCTGGTCATCGACTGAACCTCTCTTTGAAGTTGAAATTTGAACGCGAACCTCGCATTGGGAACGGGCGTATGAGAGTATATCGGTCGTATGGTAGGGAAAGGGATAGGAGGCCATCTGTATGTTATACCCATTAGTAGCATCATACATGCAACTATTTGTCACAGGCTACGGCCTCTAGCAACACTATTATATACAATGATGTAGCCATTATTTTGACATAACCTGCTATTAATCACTAGGGCCTACTGTTGTCCGAAGCCCCTGTGTTTATAGAATACCCATATATTTGGAGTACTTGCATAGATCCCTCCACTTCAAACTGAAAATGTCCTGTTGACCCAAGTTAAGCTACATACATACCTAGGTTACATACATCATCTTTTTATATCGACGCCCAACCTGACTAACCAAAATAAAAATAAAAATAAAAGGCGAAACAAAAAGGAAAACTCCCAATGCTAACAATTAATTAATGCTCCCATATATCATCTCATTTCATCTTATCCAGACTCGTACACCCATCCTCCTCCCACCAAATCCCCCACCCACAACCACAGCCAGCCAACCCCTTGTCCCAGGGGGATTCACAACTTCCCGCCGTTTCCGCCGCCGACGAGTTCGGCAGCAGCGCCGGAGATAGCCAGACGGCCCGTCTCCTTGACCTTGGTCTGGAAGACGACCTTGGAGGGGCCTTCTTTCCACATCTCGGTGACGAGGGTCTCGCCGGGCAGCACGGTGCCGGCGAAGCGCACCTTGACGTTGCGGAACGGCCCGAACTTCTCGTACACGGCCTTGCTCGCCACGCCCATCGAGCATAGCCCGTGTAGGATCGGCACCTTGAACCCGCCCATCTTGGCAAAGCTCGGGTCGATGTGGAGGGGGCTGTGGTGTGGTTAGTATTGGGGTTGCTAAGCTGGCGATAGGAAAAGGAAAAAAAAAAAAAAACTTACTTGTAGTCGCCGCTAAGTCGGTAAATAGCAGCCTGCTCCTCGGTCGTCTTAGTCTCGACGATAATATCCGGGTGTCTCTTCGGCGGTGCGTTAGCAGCAGTAGCCGCGCCTCGATCAGTCGGTTTCTTCTGGCCATCGAAACCCCCGCAACCTCTCAAGAAGACAGTAGCCTCGTTGTAGAAGAGCTCTTCGTTAGTTTCGGCGTTCACGGTGGTGACGCCGTATTTGAGGATAGCAGCGTTGCCCTTGTCCACGACTTCGATCAGCTTGCCGAAGTTCTTGGTTCGGGCCGCCGTTGGGATCGGGTACTTCTTGACCTCGAGGTACTGCTCGCCGTGCAGCAGCATCATGGGGGAGAACTTGGGCACTAGCTCGTCCATGCTGAACGGCATATTGGTGTCGAACTGCGGGATCACACCGTACGTCGGTAGCACCTGGAAGTTCTCGTGGCCTTCAAATACGTACTGTAGCTCGGTCCTCTTGGCGCCGATGCCTAGGTTATAGAGCATGCTGTCGCGCTCCGTGTAGGTGTACTCCGTAGGCTGGGACTTGGCAGCCAAAGCATTCTTTTGGGCTTCGAGATATTTGTTACTCTCGGAGGGAGTCTGGGCAAAACACAAAAAGTCAACATCAATAGTTCATTTGGTTGCTAGACTAGAACATATTACATAGGTAGGTATATATACATGATAGCCCGAATAGGAGGACATTAAATAAAGAGGGCTCATCATACCTTAGATGCCCCTCGCTTGTTCGCCATGTTGGCCATCATCTTCCCCACCGAGTCTTGGGATTTCTCAGGGTGGTCTGCTCGGCCGTCGTCAAAGTCGACAATCTTGGGCCAGTTCTTGGCGACCTCTTCGGGAACCAGCTTAACATCTACCGGGAAGCCAACACCTCCTGACCGCTGCCACCTTGTCCGGCCACACCAACCGCTGCCTACTTCGTATAGGTAACCTGTGGGGTTCTTAGGCACCTTGTCGCTGCAGAGAGCAAGGACGAGAGGAGCAATGTAGTCGGGCTTGAAGGCTTGGACTAGTTCCTCTGGCAATATGGTTCGGGTCATGGCAGTTCCGGCGTTAGGAGCAATGGTGTTGCAGTAGATGTTGTATTTGGCTCCCTCAAGGGCGATGGTGCGAGAGAATCCAAGGATACCACATTTCTAAGATTCGTTAGCTTTACCCGATTCGTTTTTATCATTCCACGTTTTAGTTACTTACCGCTGCCGCATAGTTTGCCTGGCCAAAGTTACCGTAGATACCGCTAGTTGACGTAGTGTTTACGATACGTCCATACTTCTGCTTAAGAAAGTAGGGCCAAGCTGCCTTGGTGACCTTGTATGTGCTTCGAAGGTGTACATTCAGAACGGGATCCCAAAGGCTGTCATCCATGTTAGTGAATGCCTTGTCCCGGAGGATGCCAGCGTTATTGATAATGATATCGATGCGACCAAAGCCGTCAATGGCGGCCTTGACGACCTTGTCACCCTCCTCAGAAGACGCCTTGACACCAACTGCCTTGCCGCCTAACTTCTTGATCTCGCCGACAACAGTATCGGGATCCACCAAGTCGTTTACAACAACTGACGCACCGTGCTTGGCAAAGGCAAGACAGTAGGCACGTCCGATACCAGCACCACCGCCCGTGACCAAGGCCACACGACCGGTGAAGTCTAACTTCTCACCTTGTTCGTTCGGGCCCAGCTTCAGCGACTCTTCAAGGAGAGCTAAGAAGTCGGCAGGACCAGTCGGGTACTGGGGGTTTGAGAAGTCGACAACCTTGTCCCACTTCTTAAGAATGGCACCTGGTGTATAGCTGTCGTCTGCCTTTAGGAGAAGACCGCTTGACCTTTCCCACCTAAGCTTCGCAACGTGACCACCACCGACTTCGAAAATGCTGCCATTCTCCTTAGTGTTGCTCTTGTGGACCAAAACGGCGACAAGGGGAACGACCCAGTCGGGCTTTAGGTTTTCCAAGACGTCCGGAGGCATAACGGTCTGGGTCATGCGACTCGCAGCGATGGGAGCGATGACGTTTGAGATGATGTTGTACTTGGCGCCCTCCTTGGCGAGGGTCTCGGTGAAGCCAACCATGGCCAGCTTAGCAGCCGAGTAATTGGCCTGACCAAAGCTGCCGAACAAGCCGGCAGCAGATGCGGTGTTGATGACACGACCGTACTTCTGCTTGCGGAAATGCGGCCAAGCAGCACGTGCACACTTATAAGAACCCTTAACGTGTACCTTCATGACCAAATCCCAGTCCTGATCCGTCATGTTCTTGAAGCTGATGTCTCGTAGGATACCGGCATTGTTGAGTAGAATATCGATTCGGCCGAAAGCCTTAATGGCGGTCTCGATGATCTTTTCGCCATTCTCGACGCTGTCGTAGTTGGCCACGGCTTGACCACCGGCGGCTTTGATTTCATTTACGACTACATCGGCAGCCTGGTGGTTGTAAAAAAAAACATGTCAGCGGACACGTTTGATATTTGGAATAATTGAAAGAAAGTTGAGACTCCTATTTACCTTTGTTGAATTGCCATCACCCTTAAACGAGCCTCCGAGGTCATTGACAACGACCTTGGCTCCTCTTGATGCAAAGAAAGTAGCATATGCCTTGCCCAAGCCACCACCAGCGCCGGTGACGACAACGACTTGGTCGTCAAAGCGCAATTCGCTTGCCATGGTGTCGTGTTCTGAAGCTCTGAAAAATAGGATACGAGGTAGGGGTTGATTAGAGGGAAAAGTTGGATGATAAATAATACAAATGTTGGGTCGGAGATGGCTTCTAATGCACGATTGGCAAGAGAGCAGAACTTAATGATAGAAAAAGCTGGCTTAATTACGGGATGATAGGTCTAAGTTCCTGATAATAAAGAGTTGGTCAATGTGCCGCATTTGAACTCCGGCTATTCAGCCGAGGCAGCTTTCGCATGAGCTGCCAGGAATGCCGAGGGGCCCCAGATTGATCCACTTTTTCAAAGAACCAGGCCATAGCAAGCTAGCTATACTTAATTGGGTATAGCCCTCGGATTTAGCAACTGTTTCTACCCATAGGTACTTAGGTACTTACCTACCTACCTATCCTTCGCGCCTTCTTTACAAGACCGTTCACATGCCGACAAACTCTATGTAGGTAGACTCTGAAATGCTTACGAACCTTGTATGAAGTCATGCGTACGCTATGTGTATTGCGCCTCCTATATCACTATCACGTGTGCTATTATGTCAGGAATGCTGGGTCTAAGATTATAAGACTCTAAGATTACCTAACCTAAGGCAGGTAATTAGCCGTAGTTACATGTACATATGTATAGGTAGGTAGTTAACACAATATGAAAAGCCGAAGTTTTGTATTGCCGCTTCGCGGGAGATTAGAATTTTGAATCTACCAAGTATTTCTCTTTAAGGGCTTGCTTATGATCGGTTATAGCATTTAGACTCACAAACCTCATAACCCAAATTCTAAGCAAACAAATGTATATTTGTATAGTTACTAGGTATGCACTGAAGATTTATTAGTCCCAATCATCAACCATCCCATCCGAGCCTCTGAACCAAAACTTCCCCGCATTTCCCCATCCCCACAAAGTTAGCCCGGGAGAGAGAGGGGAGCTGATGCTAATGACACTTGCTCTATGTAATGTTCTATCTATGCATCCTTAAAACGTGCTATATTGGAAATCCCATGCGTGTAGTCCCGTTGGGGTAAATAAACATCAAACGCCCGAATAACCGAACATACAGTACCTGTAGCCGATCACGAGCATCACAAGTATAGATGCAATAAGGTCTGCTTAAATGGCTACAGCGGAGATAACCGACGACAAGAGCCCTATATGCATGCCATTTATACTCGAACGGTATAAGCAATATAGCGCCTCTAACTCTACTCGGCCCTTTATCGTCGGACTGAATGGCGTGCAAGGCGCTGGGAAGACAACTCTGGTAAAAGCCCTTGCCTCGAAGCTACAGAATGACCAAGGTCTACAAACGTTGGTCTGCAGCATTGATGATTTTTACCTGCGACATGAAGATCAAAAGGCACTGGCAGAGTCTCACCCGGACAATTTGTTAGTCCAGGTCCGAGGCGAGCCAGGTACGACAACCTGCACCCAAAATCTTAAGTCAGAAGGATATTTATTCTTATTTGATTCTAATGCTACGGTTATGTAGGTACACATGACATGAACTTAGCTCGAGATTTCTTCACGGCTTTATGTAAGGGTCAGCCGGTTAAGATTCCTCAATATGACAAGTCGGCCTATTCGGGCCAGGGCGACAGGGTCCCAGAATCGCAATGGGAGACGATTAACGGCCCGGGTCAACCCAAGATTCAGGTGGTCATCTTCGAGGGCTGGTGTGTTGGCTTTCGGCATTTGAGTCCTGTAGAGGTGTCACTCAAGTGGAATTCGCCAAGCAGGACGCTACACCGACACCCTTTAGAACACCTGAACTTCATCAATGAGCGCCTCCGGGACTACGATGTCATCACAGACATGTTCAATGCATTCATCCACATCGACGCCGGAGATACCGAATGGGTGTACGACTGGAGGCTAGAGCAGGAAGCCATGTTGCGGAGGGAGAAAGGGGCAGGTATGACGAACGAGCAGGTCGTCAAGTTCGTCGATGCCTATTATCCCGCGTACGAACTTTTTTCCGACAAGCTGAGAGATGGGCTGTTCGCCGACAAACCCGGATGTCAGTTGAGATTAATTGTCGGCAAAGACAGAAAAGTCAAACAGACAGTCATCGTTTGATACGCGAACAAGCGGGTATCTTACCAAGTAGCCTCACTTAATGTGACAAGGCCCAATAGCATCATTTGTTGCCGTACATAGAGCACCGGATTGAAGGCGCAAACACCATAGCTCCAGTCCATGTTATAATAACAGCAACATTACAGCCCAAGCTAACGCACAGCCGTATATCCTTCCCTTTAGAATGAGTTCGTAAAAATCCGTCGGCGGTAAGTTATCGGTCACGGAGAGCCTGCGGTACCGCGTACTTGCTTACTTGATTCAATCAAACTCCTTTCCGTTCATCATGCCCTCGCCTTCGTTTTTGAGTTCGGCGAGAGTGCTGTCAATTGTTCGGATCTTACTCCTAACAGCTTCGTCCCGGTCGGCTATCTCGTTCTCGAAATCTTGTATTATTGTTCGCTTCATTTGGCGGGCTTCTCTAAACCGTTGTATAACCTCGCCAAATCTTTCAAGAAACCAATCCCCGGAGATCTCCCAGTCTTTAACGGGCATCTTAGAAAAGAATTCCATTTGATTTTCCTGGTCCTTGTCAAAAAAGTGGTCAAGTTTCTCTGGCAATGTGCCTCGAGGTGGTCCTATCGCCGACTGGGCCTCTGCTTGGGCCGGGTCAAAATCGAATACTTCATCCTTGAGTTCGGAATAGTCCATTGCCGCCAGAGCCCCATCATCGTAGTCAAGTTCGTATCGACGCTTCTTTGGATTAGAAACACGCTTCTCTATCGATGAGCGAGGCATCGCACTCTCGTGCAATCCTAGACCGCCTTTATTACCACCTTTGATAAAAAGTTGTCGATTGAGTTGAGACTTAGGTTTCGCGACTAGCTTGGGTGCAGGCGGAGCAGGGCTCTCGCGATCTGACTCGTCCGGATGGCTAACCATAGGCGTATCGGTATCAGCAAAAATAGTCGAGCGACGGTGCTGATGTTCTGGTAATGTCTTCACTCTCAAGTGTATGGAATTTTCAGATCTTGCATCATCATCTAAATCATTATCAGGAACTGGGTAGGCCTCACGTGGAGGCGAAGGTACGATATTTTCTTGAGGAAAGGCGGCCCTTTCGGAGAAGGAACCACGACGGTTAGTACGTAAGGCCAAAGGTTTAGTATGATGAAGCCGCTTAGCGGAAGGGGTCTTTTCTGGGCTCGTCTGATATGGGCTATCTTCTGACTCTTGGTCAAGTTCCGGAGATGATACACCCTTCAGGTGGCCACGGTGATTCCTAGCATCCGGTGTCGAAGCACTTCTAGTAAGAGGACCACCTACTACATCTATGATCCCGTTAGGTCCAATAACGAAGGGGGCATGTTGATCCGGCATATTGACTGCCCCCTTAGCGGGGGGGCGAGGACGTGGGGTATTCCCTCTCTGCTGGTAAGTAATAGGCGCCCGAAAAGGCATCCGATACATAGAGGTGCCTGCCGCGTTTGCGTCAACATTGCTAGCGGTGTCACTAAACATGGAGCCATCTACCGTCGAGCCCTCCCAGAATGGCGCTGGCCGCCGCGAAGATTGAATGGGCTCAGAAGCAACGGTTCCCGATCGCCGTATGTTAAGTGACGTATCTCGGGTATGGCCAGTACGGCCGGCAGGAACAGGTAGCTTAGCTGCCGCAACGGCGGCCGCTCTGTTGGAATTTGCATTGACTATAGGTGCGCGTGATCGTGGAGGCGAATTTTGCGTTGCCTGTATCGTCTGGGTGGGTTGCGATGTCGCAGGCGTAGGTTGAGGTAAATAGACGTGGCGTTGGGGAAGGTGGCTTTGGACATCATGTCCCGTTCCTGGCCCAGATCCAGCAGGAGCAGGTTGGCTATTATTGAGCCCGTTGCTCGTGACCCAAGCTTGCATTTTCGTCTTTGAATGCTTCAGGAACTGGCTGGCTGGCGGCATCTGAACGGAGGCAGATTTGGTAATGTTTCGGAAAGAAAGACACATAGACACATAAGCTGAGTTTGTTTACTTTTCCTAAGCTCTGTCTATATCCGTTACGCGTTCAATGGCTGCGAGTCTTTCGTGGTCCCAATCCCACTGTTGACGTGTTTGACCACGGATGGTAGTAGAATCGGACGGATGACAGGCGGAGAGGTTGAGCTTGATTAATATTATGTATCATACCGCCATCCTGCCCAATGCGACGACGAGGTTGGGTCGCAATGTTTACTGGTGAGGCATGAGGATGGCTTTGGAAGGTCTAAATAGAGGGCGAAAGACGACGGTCCAATAGTTGAAATGGTGAAATAAGTCGACTGGTGGGGAATTACAACAGGACTTTTTTTGATTTAGAAGCCTCGCGACTTCCCCTGCACGTAGTCGAGTCACCGTCGCGTCTGCAATGTTCTAACGCCTTTCCGGGTTAGGCCAAGTGGGGTTATTTGTGGATCGGTGCATCCATGCTGCCATGCTAGCGCACGGGTCACCCCCGGATTCCTTTTTAGAGCATCAACCCCCACGGCTTATTTCCCCTTCCCCAATTACCTCAGACCATATCATTTATACCACTTAAGAGGTCGCCTCACCTCGTCTCTGTTTTCTAGATGCCGCTAGATGACTTGTCTTGCATGATCTCTTTCACCATTTGTGTGATATCTGGCCACTTATCTATCACGACGCGCCTATCTACCTGTTCGGAAGGAGCGCATTGAACGATTCTTCCCGATGCAATGCCACCTTGCTCGCGTCTAATTTCTCATGGCCGTTGGGCAGCAGACAAACATGTCATCCAAGGCTTTTGTGAAGTACATGGCGGTTGCTTATTTTGAACCTCTCATCGTCCTTCGCGGCAACGGAGCTCTCCACTCCTATTGCTCCTGTTCTATGTATATGCGATGCAAGCACGGAGTTCAGATAGCAGACGCTGTGGAGTGCCTTCATTTCCATTTACGTGGCTTCAGACCAATCGATCTATCGTGAGGCTAATTTAAGGCTAAGAAAAGGGAGTGTCTTTCTATCCAGTACCCCCTTAAACTTATCCCGAGACCCAGGATTTCTCAAGCAACCGACTTTTTCATATACACAAGGTCCACTGTAGTCCCAAGTGTTAGCAATTCTGAAATACGCCGAGACTTAAAAAGACACCTGAGTCGTCGGGCCTGTTCCACGAGCTCCTGGCCCTTTATCAGGTCGAGAGGGGACGACAGCACATGCTTTAAAGTAACACAACGGCCCCGAAACGGCTGAGATGTAACTTACCAGACATACTGACACCTTCCTGCAGGTTCCATATATATGCATCTTTCTCTCGTCCAAGTATCTCGTACCCCTGATTGATATACCAGTCTTCATTGGAAACCTGCATCAACACGTTTTAGGAGTGCTACAACTTCTAACAATATTGCCACGACTTACCACTGACGGAGGAATACGTCCTTTCCCATATATGAGGTCTCGTATCTCTGGTTTGGTCTGCATCTCCTTTGATAGGGTATCCAAAGCTACTATTTTTGCATTCATTGGGCTTCGCGTGGCTAGCGTCTCGATTTTGGACATGGCTCCGGCACCAAATCCACCTCCATGGAGCGCTCGCGAAATGTACAGTTGATGAACCCACACGGTCCCGGTAGCTGGAAGGCCAAGTTTGATGTCCTCATCGGGTTCATGGACGTCAAGAGCAACATGGCCAATAGGGATGAACTCCACCATAGTAGGCTGCCGCGGGACGAGCCGAATCTCTGCTGCTGTATCCCTCAACGGGTTTGCCTCCTTTGTACAAGGTTTTAGGTCATCCAGTAGTTATGTATATTGGCCGGGCAATCATAAGCATACCTTTGAATAGGCACTAGTGTGCTGCTCAAGTACCTTTTCTCTATCCGGAAGAGCATCCGAAAGGAGCTAATCTATCAGCTACCACAAAGCTAAGAGGGTATTATATAACTCACAACCCAGTAAAATATCTTTCCGCCTTTCTGCGCAGCCTCTACCCACTATAGAAGCTAGAATTAGATGTTGCCATTCACGGAAGTTTTCGGATCACATTGCGCGATCTCAAGTCACGGGAACCGGCTCGGTAATCTATAACTTTCGGACGTGCCCGGAGGGTATATATATACTCTCAAATAGCAATATGGAGCAAGATGTGACGAAGGATATACTTGCCGATGGTACTTCGTCAGCCCTCCACCCACAAGCAACACGTTGGTCATACATCCTCTGCACATGATCTGGACTTGAATGATCCCAAGGGAGAAGCTGCGTAGTATCCAAAAATATCAGCATTTATCCTTGGTGTCGTGAGTATAGCAACGCAAGTAAGGTATACTATAGGAGGAAGTAAATTGCCAAGGGTGAAGCGAACCTCTACTTTCCAAGCATGCTTAGACCCCATGATTATTGGGTGTATTAGTAGCGCGAACCGAGTCTAAAGGCAAGGTGGTAGGTAAAGCTACACTCAGTTATAAACAAAAATAAGTCATAAACAAAAATAGATAGATGTCTATGAGGATTAATTTTCAAATATGAGGTGGGCAAAAGCTTCAAATTCAACCTGAGCTGTCTCAATTTACACGGTGTCAATATGATAGGTAAGACTTGTTTGTATACCGTCTGAGTCACTCCGATAATCGTATAGTAAAGCCTGCATTTACGATAGAACCCCCTTACATAAACGCTGCTAGGTATAACCACCGTCTTACACCTTTCTCTACCTATTGACGACGGAAAAAAAAGAAAAAGAAAAAGAAAGGCTAACAAAGGCTAGTCCGACTTCGGTTGATGTAATAGTAAGGGCGTTACGAACGGGCCACTAGCGACGTTCCAAACTTTATCGTAACGTTATCAGATCTGACGGCACCCCGCTATAGCTAGGTACCTACCTAGGTTACATAATAACAGAACAGAGCTAACGAAGGTTACTGCACGTAACCGCGACCTCTAACCTAGAAAACCCCCTAGCTTCATGGGAAACTACCTCCTAACCTAATCTTATCCACATGACTTATACAACTCATGGGTCCAAAGCGTAAAAGCCAACCAGAACAGCAGAGCGAAGCGTCCTCCTTGTCGCCTTCCAAACAACGCAAAGCCAATAGTAAAGAGGAAGTGGACACTTCCGCTTCTTCTGCCTCCTCTTCCAAGCCACAAGGCCGCAACCTCCACCATGGCTTCGAGACGTACCCGCCATCCCGGGTGTTCCGACTAATAGAGCCCGGCCCCGTGTTGTTAGTCACGACGGGATCGCTAGCCGACGAGACGCACAACGTTATGACCATCGGCTTCCACATGGTGATGCAGCACGAGTCGCCGCCTCTCATCGGCATCTGTCTCGGGCCCTGGGACGCCTCGTTCGCCGCTCTCAAGAAGAACCGCGAGTGCGTGCTCGCTGTGCCCGACGTAGCAATAGCCAGCACAGTCGTCGATATCGGGAATTGCTCTGCCGACGACGAGGAGGAGCCCAGCGGCAAGTGGCAGCGCTTCGGGCTGGAAGCCTGTCCGGCTGCAAAGGTCAAGGCGCCGCTTGTAGGCGGCGGCGATGTCATTGCGAATATCGAGTGCGTGGTCGAAGACACTAAGATGGTGAGCAAATACTCCATGTGGGTTCTAAAGCCCGTCAAGGCGTGGCTCAATCCGGACAAGAAACCCGGAGAGGGTGGCCGCATGTTCCATCACCGCGGCGATGGCACGTTCGTCATTGATGGCGAGGTTCTGGACTTGAAGGATAGGATGACCAAATGGCAGGAATACCAAGATTAAATTATATATCAACGCACTCCCTAACCTTTTATTTAGTACCGACTACCTAAGTTCGTAATGACGAATTGACTCTAATCCTAATTTTCATTCTTCATAAACCATATCCGCCTACTTCTTCTCTTCTTGCTCACTTTCAGCTGCACTGTTAGTTACGACAGTCGGATTCTCCGAGTTCTCCGAATTACTCTTATCTTTTTTCTCCTCGTCCGGAGAGTTCCCCTGCGTTCCTAGCCGAATAAAAAAGGTCAAGACCAAACATGCCGCAGAGAACCCAATAGACATTTGGAACGTTCTGGTGAATTTGAGCATCGGATCGGCCATGCCTTCGGGTGTCAATTGCACCGAGCTAAAAATTGCCGTCGAAATCCCCATCACGGCAGTATTGGCCAGGCGAATAACCACATTGAAAATGCCACCCGCCAAGGATTGTTTATCTTTAGGTAACGACTGCATCACGTACATCTGGTGAAGTCAGAATTGTCAAAATGTTAAGCACAGGAGTGTAACTTACATTGCCCACGTTGAACTGAAGATCAGCACCAGCAACGATCAAAATGAGGGCTGGGAACATCAAGGCCCAGTAGCTAGTATCTATCCTTATGAAAGAGAGCAGCAAGTTGGCAGCGAGGTAGCAGGTGGCACCGAAGATCATAATAACCGTATTGTTGATGCGATGCATGATGCGACCGGCAACTATGTTCCATAGCAGCCCAGCGATAGCCTGAGGAAGGAGATGAACGGCGACCATGAGGGTGGAATACTGTTTAACTTCCTGCAAGAAAAAGGCTACCCAGAAACAACTAGCGGTAAAGCCCATATTGCCGAGGGCAATAGTAGGGATGATCTACAGTTGTTAGTATTGAGGGTTTGAGGATAAGAGGTAATCTCTGAATAATAACTCACAAAGCTAAAGTTCCTGTCCTTCCAGATATGTGGAGGCATCAGGGGGTGAGGAAATACCCTTTCCCACAGGATGAAAATGACAAGCAGCGCGATGCCAACAACTAACATCGCAATCACATGCGCACTTGCCCAACCATCTTCGGGGCCCAGTCTAGATTCGTCAGTATTTGAGACTCTTAAGACTCTAAGGGTACCTACGTTAAGCCAGCAGTAAACAAGCCCGTCCCAAAAATCGTCAGAATCGTGCCGACAATATCGAATTGCTTCAGCGTTTTTAGGCGTTCCTTCAGAGGAGCTCGATCGAAATTCTCGACATTAGGCACGGCCCAAATCGCATGAAGGGTGAAAAGGGCCCAGATAACGCATAGGACGATAAAGGCAGCACGCCAATTACTCAGTTGGGTAACAATGCCGCAGATGATAGTACCGAACACAAATCCTAACGGGTTTCCCGCACTAAATGCCGAAAATGCCAAGTTCTTCCGTTTCGAAGGGGTGGCGTAGGCCGCGCCGAGTATACCTATGGCCGGAGGAACCACCATAGCGGAGCAAGCACCGAGGATACCACAGACAATCAACATCCAGAAGGGGTTTTGGGAGAAAGCCACCAGCAACACGAATCCACTGAAACTGGCCAGACCAGTTATGAACATGGGTTTTCTCCCTAGCAAGTCGGCTAGCTGCCCCAAGGCGAGCTGAAGGGCACCAGCCACAAGTCTACAATGATAAGTTAGTTAATGATATATAGAAACCACCTAGTTAAGGGTTTAGAAAAATATTCTATACGTACGACGTCGCGGCGCTGATCCATGCTATTTCACCTTGTGTCATACCCAAGTCGCGAGAGACGGGAACGGTGATAACTAGAGCAACGCCGGATAGGAAAGATGTCGTAGCGGTTGCGATGGTAGCTTGGAAGATGAAGGATATCTCCTGGAACGTGTTCTTAAAGCACTCCGGTCGGTCTCCAAACTTGGATTTGATCCTCTCAAGCGTCGACATGCCGCGCTCTTCGTCGCCATTTGTGGTGTGGATGCTCCCACTAGAGCTGGAGCTTTTAGCTGTCGAATCTACATCTTGCCCGGGTTTTGCTGGGTCGAGCGACATCTCGATGATTTCTGGGGTTTGTCCAGACGGTACCGCCATTGTGTGCGAAGATATTCTGAGTTAGACCTCTAGAAAGATATTCATCTAAGTCAATGAAGCGCGGTGTTAAGCTTCATGTGCCGCGGCGGGAATAATATGTGAGAGGTAACAATGATTGTTGCTTAACAATTATCATCAATGAGTGTATTAGCACACAATAATTATATAGGTAGCAATAATCGTGGTTAAAGACCACATCCTACCTGATATGTTCTATCCCTCGGAATAAGGACTCACAGGGAATAAATCCGACGCATATGGAGATATGCTTGCTAATCGTGGGCATTTATAAGAAATGTTGGTTATTTTTTTTTGTCTTACAAGAGATACATATTTCTATCTTAAGAAGCTACTACGCCCATAATGGATAAGCTTGACTCAGGTCCACTGAATTACCTACTGAGTCTAGTCCTATTCAAACTAATTATCTTCTAACAGTGAGAAGCAACGAGGCTCGCGATTGCCCAAATAGGGGCAGATTCCATTCTCCCACATGCCACATGCCACATCCCCCATTGAACAAGCTTTTCCCCCAACGGAAGCGCAATCGGGCCTCATTAACTTAAAAGTCTTCAAAACTTTAAAGGCAAGAATGACAGAGGTACATTGTTTACTTAATCAAGTCTGATTTGCCGACTTCTTTTACACCATTCCTAAATTAATATCTTTTAAGCCCTTTAAATGTCGTGGTTTGTTGGTACAAGGGGAGTGTATACCTGTGTCACGCCCACAACTTTAGGACGTGGATGGTTTGTTACACGCGTGGAAATGACTTATTCACGACTTCAGGCGAACCGTGCATGTCCTCGAAAGCGAATGCATGATGACCTTCATGAATCGATATATCAAAGTCGGTAAACTAAAACAACATAGGTTGTTTCAGGTGCTTACACTCCTTACGTGTATGACAGCCAAAACACAACACCAACGGAAACAACCACGCACAGAATGGCATACAAACACGTTTCGTGCTCTTTAACATCGCACAGCGCTGGTAGCACTGGAAGCAGGTATCACAAGGTAGGTCTCGAAGGTATGGAATCAACTTTGTTATTTCGCAAGTAGTTCTAAACCTTTAGTAAACTACGAAGACCCGTGGCTATACATAATACACTAAGAATACCCTATAGTTACCTATTCTAGATGTCTCATCTAGGACCATGGCAGAAAGCAATCTAAGACACAGTCTTACATTTAACAATAGAATAAAAATATATATAATTTCAGAAATACGTATCAGGTAGGTAACTACTATAGTTGTCGGTATCTTACTATTTCCCTAGTAATTATGGTCATCCCTACTCCCACAGCAAAAACCTCATTCTATATTTCAGATAAACTCTTTATTCAACCCCTATTAGCACCAACTACATCTACGGGGCGCCTTCAAATTTCATAATCGCGGAAACCCGCTAAGCGATGACGACGAAGTAGCTACCTTATAGAGTATTAGAGCTAGCTCGAACAATCGTTAGGCTACAATTGCATCTCAGTGTGTTATAATTTATCTCTCCTCTCACCCCTATTACGTAGTTCACTCATCTTCGGGCTTAGAAACATGTATCGAGCAGAAAGGCCTTCTAGGTTATATCTGGTCGAATCGTTTAGGATGAGGCAATGAAGCTGCCTTAGGTACCTAATTAGCAAAAGCAATTACCCGCTTCGGCGCCCTATCAGCAAGAGATCAAAACCTTGCAAGCAAACGCCGTTGACCAATCTCGCTAATATATCGTCCTACCATCTTCGTTTCCCTCATTTAATTCGAAAAGACTTTCCAAGTACATATTTGAATATTGGTAGATATATCTAACGTAGCAATTCAAAATTATGTCCGTGGGCTTCTTAGGAAGTTCACAACTCCTCCGCAGTAACTAACAAGATTGTCTAATCTATTACATTCTTCTGCCTGATGTTTTTTCCATTCTGACAGTGCGCTCATTAGGGTATCACTCGCCAGGATCAAATCGAAATGTAGACGAAGGAAGACAGCCATCCAGGCTTGGGTGAGCTCGTAGTCACGACGTGCCACAAGGCGGCTGGTCATAGCGTGGATGAAATGAAGCAGCTCGTTGGTTTCATCATCGTCCCCAGTTGATAGAGAGCGTAATTCTAGGTCCGCCGTAGCCGGAGAGAGAGATTTAAGATGCTCGATGAATTCGGCAACTAATTAGAGTTAGCTCTTGAATTATAATGGTATAGAGGATATAGGCAATGTCTCTCACAATTTCCAGAAGTAGCTCCCGCTTGCAGTTTATTCGTGAATACTTGCTCTGCCCTGTTCCGATCGAAACGGGTGATCCTCGATTGACTCTGAGCTTGGTCTGTGTTCGGCTGGGCTGCGCCTAGATTTGACGCGCTGGTGTTGGTTGCTGATGGCAGGAAAAAAGGAGCCTTTTCAGGAGCTTTTGGAGCTTCAGTTGGTTTGTTCCTCTGCTTAATCAAGTCCAAGTGTAATAGTGTTTGCCATCTGCTTCGCGGAACTAGACTTAGCGTCATCATATCGGCACTGAGCTGATCCACGCCAGGTGCGGTGATTTCATCATCTTCTTGGGAGGCTGCTTCTTCAAAAGCTGCTTCGAGTAAGCCCTGGCCTCCCTCTCCTGATGCCGTCGGTCCCGATATCTGCTTGATTGAATCTTCGGATATTTGCCGGGTTGGAACGTGTGTGAAGAGAGCCTTGTTATTCCATATGTTAACACCCAACTCTCCCTCAGTGGCTGCAGCCAAATATTCTCCCGTTGCCGAGAAGGCTAGTGCGGTGCAAGGTTTTTCTAATCGAATAGCATCAATCAAGTGGCCTGTCGGTAGATCCCAAACTCGTATTATAGCATCCTGAGAGGCAGCTACTATCCAGCGGCCATCGTTAGAGAAAACAAAGTCGTTGATTCTGCCCTGGCATCCCCAGAATTCACGAATAGTTTGTTTTGTCTCAATATCTACGACCCGAATAGAGTTGTCGTCGCAGGAAAAAGCTATGAGATCATTTGCAGCATGATAGCGGCAGCCTATGGTTCCTGTCATCGGAGCCCAGTTGATTTCCTCAAGCAGATTTCCCGTAAGGAATTCCCAGAACTTTACTTTGCCATCCAAGGAGCAGCTAATCACATATTTGTTCATTGAATCGACAACAATCCCGGTGACTGCTTTCGTATGCTTTCCAATCCCTGGT